TCAAACCCACTGCCATTTTATAAGTACCTGCTTACATGGTTCTCAGATTTCAAGTCAATCCTAAAGTAAGAAAGTTCTCAGTGTACTGCTTCTCAGTACACTGAACAGATTAAAATTAATTTAGTTTGTACAATTTGCTAATCCCCAGGCTAGTTTACAAACCACGATGCCAGGGTTCTTCTAACACAAAGTGTTAGTACCACTGTATAATACCTTGCTAAGACTACACTTAGAATATTGCATCAATAAGGATTCCCTCTCTAATTCCCTTATTGGGAATTAGATGTAACCTGAGATATACAGGTTGAATGATTTTGTTATTGGACTATTGATTACCCTATCACCACGCTGCTTCCTAAGCACCTGGATGTAAAAATTTGAAAAATTAATAAAATTTGTTCAAAGAATATTGCATCCAGTTTTGGTTGCCATGATATGAAAAAGATGTTGAGGTTCTAAAAAGAGTGCAGAGAAGAGCAACAAAGATGATGAGGGGACTGGAGATTAAAACATATGAAGAATGGTTGGAGGAACTGGGTATACCTAGTCTTGTGAAAAGGAACAAGGATGACATTATAGCAGTGTTCAATACTTGAGGGCCTGCCACAAAAAAGAGGGGGGGGGGGTCAACCTATTCTCCAAAGCTCCTGAAGGCAGGACAAGAAACAATGGATGGAAACTAATCAAGGAAAGAACCAACCAAGAAGTAAGGAGAAATTTCCTGACAGTTAAAACAATTAGTCAGTGGAATGGCTTGCTTCCAGAAGTTGCTCCAATACCGGAGGTTTTAAGAAGAGACTGGACAGCCATTTGTCTGAAATGGTATAGGGTTTCCTGCCTGGGCAGGGGTTTGGCCTAGAAGTCCTCCAAGATCCTTTCCAACTTTACTATTCTATTCTAAACCAAACCACATTATGGATTAGTGTGATGTTTTAACCAAAGTTTCTTGCCCAAAGAAACTGAGGTGAAATGTTGAATAAAGCAAGAATATATTCCAATTAGTATATGCAAGGACATTTCCCCTCTGTCCAAGCTTCATGAGCTATAATACTTTCATTCTACAGAAGGCCAAGAGACCATGTAAAATGATACTTACATTGTTTCCATCCTGCAACTTCCATCTCCAAAAATCTTCCTCTATTTTAATTTTTTGAGGAATTTCATCTATGCAGAAGGTACTTGTTTGCAGTCGGCACGTAGCCTTCATGTTGATCTTGAAGGAAAATATTTATAGGTCAGAGCCATGGATTTTATATCAAGAGGCAGGACCAGCTCTCCACGATCACTTTTGAGTGACCAGACATACCTTATACAGCCTTTTAAGCACTTTGAGAGGATGAATCCATGACTTTGCTTGGGGAGAAAGGTTGTAATAAGGCAACATTGCTGACACCCACGTCTTCAACATTTGAACTATTTGCTCTAAAAATGGACCTGGCAACAAGGACCAATAATTTTCTGAAAGAAAGACATTTTCAAGTCATTAAAAATATAGACAGAATCAATCGTATACTAAGTGAGCCAAACTGATGAAAATCCTTGACGAGGCTACAGAAGAAATAAGCAATATTTTGATGAGTAGAAGGCCAATCTTAATTGTAGTCTAGATTCCAAGGTTAATGTGCATAGTTGAACAACACTAAAGAAACTACTCTGAAGTAATCTCTTGTATTCAGGTAGTCCTTGACTTACAGTTCACTTAGTGTCTGTTCAAAGTTTCAACGGCACTGAAAAAAAGTGACTTATGACCATTTTTCAGCTTACCACCACTGCGGCATCCTCATGGTCACGTGATCAAACTTTGGACACTTGGCAACTGACTCATATTTATGACGGTTGCAGTGTCCCGGAATCATGGGATCACCTTTTGTGACCTTCTGACAGGCAAAGTCAATGGGGAGAAGCCAGATTCACTTAACAACCGTGTTACTAATTTAACAACACCTGCAGGGACTCACTTAACAACTGTGGCAAGAAAGGTCATAAAATGGGGCAAAACTCAATTAACAAATGTCTCACTTTACAACAGAAATCGGGGACTCCGTTGTGGTCATACGTTGAGGGCTATCTATAGCTCTTGGTTTCTTTGGCCTGACATTAATCTTACCAGACTAAAGCACTTATCTGCACAATTATTAGATGTACCCAGTGAACTAGCCAGGATGGGTTCACCTTCCTTCTTTTTCGGCCTACCAAAGATTCCAAGCCATGTTGCCTCTTTGCTCCCTGGAAAAGACCTCCTCTCTCATGCAACTCCGGACTACATTCCTTGTGACTAACTTGCACCTAAGCTATTTGAGGCTTTATTTTTTTTAATTTTTTTAATTAATTTTCTAATATTACATTTGCATATTTGAAAAGCAACATGGCAGCTGAGTACAATAATTCCATTACATTTAAATATCATCAATACAAATCTCAAAGTATTACGACAACTAATTGCCTCTCTTTCCCCCTTAATATATACTGTCTCATATTCAAACCAACATAATTCTTATTCTATCAATCAAACAGAAAATAACTTTCTAGCATTCATCAATAATCTTCAGTTTATACATATCTTAATTAATTTAACATTCCATCTTTTAGACAGTCAATGACCTAATAAATTTTTCTTAATTTTAATTTTCCATTAATATTTTAAATTTAATGTTTAATCTTTTTCATTTCCAAATTTTAAATGACCCCAATTTCTATCACGGTTCCCCCACAATCTATAGTTTCAGATACATCTCTGATCTATACATGATTCTCACCGTCTGCATCAACCAATTAATAATACGAAGCAATACTCTTATTTAGTAATTCTCCAGTATCTTAGAATCTCAAATTTAATAGCCAAGATTTCTTTTATTTCAACACTTAGTATTTCCTCTTTTTTTCCCTCTTTATGTCTCCTATCTCATACCACAAACCAATATACAGATTTAATTTTTAGTATTTTACTTCTAAGTTTTACTTAACCAAATGACTAACTTGCACCTAAGCTATATGAGGCTTTATATATATATATATCGTAGGTCACATTTTAAGTTTTCTGCATTTTTTTTGATCTCCTCAAGGGCTTGGTTTTGAAAACCACTGAAAACTTGGCTTTGTTCCCTGGTCTAGGAATAGAGTGGCTGTTGATCTCTTTTTTGTCTTTTCCTTCTGGGGAGTTTTTTTGAGGTGTTGAGTTTCTCATTTCAGATATTCTGGAGTTCTTCATTTTCTTTCTTGCTTTATTTTGTAATGGAAGTCACACCAAGTTGGATTGCTTCAAAATTTAATGACACAAACAAAGAAAGAAACATTTAAAGTTTGTCACGTAGAGAATACACTAGTTCTCTGTTATCCTGGAGGGCAAGATCAGAACCAGTAAGATGAATCTACAGGGAAGCATTACAGTCAGAGCCATCAAACAATGGATACATTGCCTTATGAAGAGATAAATTCCCCTTCACTTGAGAAGTTCAAACATAGACTCGATAGCTACCTTGGATTAAATAATCTCTGTGATATCTTCTATGTTTATGGCTCTATTGCTTTTGCTGAGAAAATGTAGAATTCTTTTGAGCTGGGAGACTGAGGAATGTAATATATGAATGGGGGCACACAGGATGTGGGAAAAGAGAAAAGGAGAATTGTTCCAAACTCACCTAGAATGTTGGAAGAGCACTTGCTCAGACCTGTGACAGCTTCTGCAAACTGAAAAGCTAGTGATGATATCATGTGTGCTCCAAGAGCAACACAGCACTCAGGCACCAGAAGAAAAACAGCAAGAGCTTCTTGGTGAGAAGAACTCCGGGGAAGAGCAGGAACGAGATGGTCCAATAGAGAATAACTGATCTGTTTAAAAACAGTATTTATTTATTTATTAAATTTATATACCGCCCTATCTCCCTTGCGGGACTCAGGGCGGTGAACAGGCGATACTAAAAACCACGATAATAAATAAATAGTTTGTTTTAAAATCGAATTAAATAACAGGCCTGTTCTAAAAACACACCCGTAAAAACCCCCCACTGAAACATAATCAAACTACGCCAGGCTGGCCGCACGGAATAGATGGGCCTTCAGGGCTCGGCGAAAAAGGCGCAGGTCCGTAGTTGTACATAGGTCGGGGGGTAGGTCATTCCAGAGGGCAGGAGCTGCCACAGAGAAGGCTCTCCCCCTGGGGGTCACCAGCCGGCATTGTCTGGCCGACGGCACTCTAAGGAGGCCCTCTCTGTGGGAGCGGACTGGTCGAAGGGAGGTGTTTGGTAGGAGGCGGTCTTGCAAATACCACAAATAGATATAACTGGCTACAGATCTGTCTAGTTTCAGAAGAAAAGCAGATACGAAAAGAGGAAAGATGCATCAGTTGCCCTGCCCATTTCAGCTTTTACAGTCCATTATGGTGTAGCACCAGGTTGCATCAGGCATTACTTTGCCAGGACTGAACCTGTCTAAATGATAGGAGTATCAAGGATGCAGATGTAGAGGTGGTCAACAGTATTACGAATCTGGGGGTGCAGACAATTAACCATCTGAATTGATCTCTCGACACGTCATCTTTAGTGAAGCGTGCAAACCAGTGTCTCCATTTCCTGCCTTGGATGAGGAGAGTGTATCTTTCTCCTTCTGTCCTGGCCACTTTTTACAGAGACACATTTTAACAAACTGCATCATTGGTTTGGTGGTAGCAGTGCTTCAGATAGAAGGTTCATACAGAGAGTGGTAAGGACAGCTGAGAAGATTATAGGAAGCTCGCTTCCTATTATTCAGGACACTGCTTGCAAGCGCTATGTGCTTAGAGCTCGAAGCATTGTTTGTTCTGTCCCCGTTGGACACACACACCCAAACAGCCAGCCGAGGGTTAAATAACTTCTCCACACTCCAATCCACAGATAAGAAAACTTGGCAGCAGCTCCGTAGCTGCCTGCCAAGACTTTTACTCAGAGAACAAAACACAATACACACAGTTAGAAAATTAAGTCCACAGCAAACTACTTCGCCAGAGATTCAGCTTTGTCCGTCACAGAGTCCAAATGGCCACCACCTCCCTTTTATAGCCTGTGGGGTGTGGTCCAGTGACTCAGCTTAATCTCTGGCACGTCTCCTTTTCTGCTGCGCACGCTTGTCGCTCCTACGCTGGCGTGGATCCAGCCACAACTTCTCTTCCTCACTATCCGAAACACCTGGCTCCTGGCCAATCTCAGAACCACCTGGCTCCTGGCCAATCTCAGAACCACCTGGCTCCTGGTCAATCTCTTCTCCGTCGGGAGACACCTGAGGCATTGCCAAAGAGGAGGATCCTGGAGAGGGAGGCCTGGCCATCTCCTCTCCTTCATGTTCGGAGCTTTCTTCCTCCGATAAGAGGGGCTCACAAGACGGAGCCACAACATTGTTAGAGACCCCCATACATTCACTTTATGGTCTGTTTTTGTTGCTCCCTTCTGGAGGAGGTTTCGAAGTATTTCCAGCAGGACTACCAGATTCTGTAACAGCTTTGCTCCCTATGCCATCTGTCTGGTAAACTTGCAAGATTTGTTTTTCTCGCCATGTACATGTATACATCCGAACTAGACTGTGTTGTTTCTCTGTGTCATAGAATATATGTGGATATGTGGGTATATGCAATTTTTTAGTCATATTTATGTAGTGTATGTTGGAGATGGTGACCTTTTGAGAGCAGTATGCAATGAAATTTCATTTTAATGTATGCTGATTAGTGTACATTTAAAGTGACAATAAAGTTATTCCAAATCTAAGATAAGATATTGAAAGGGCTTGCCAAGAGACACCATTGTCCCATGATGTTGAAGTTGCATTGATCAGGTAGCAAGCCTTCTTTGTGTAGCTCCCATGCTTTAGATATTTCTACTCATAAAGCTTCATACAGTCACTTTCTGCTTGGCTTTCCATAACTTTATTCTGCTGTGTTTTTAATCTTAGTTGGGTTGTGGCATCTGTTGGGGTAGGGCAGGGGTAGGCCACCTTGGCTCTTTTATGACTCGTGGACTTCAACTCCCAGAATTCCTGGCTGGCTCAGGAATTCTGGGAGTTGAAGTCCATGAGTCATAAAAGAGCCAAGGTGGCCTACACCTGGGGTAGGGGAAAGTGGATGACCTTTTTCTTAATGTTGTTTTTGCTCTGCTGCACTCTATTTTGACACGGGCTATGGAAGGAATGGAATACATCAGGATGATAGGACATCTGTGTATAAAATCAGAGTTCCAATTTTTTTTTCCAGTTCTCTTTCCATTAGACCCAGAAGGAAAGTTTCTGGTTTAATCCTTATGTTCACTTTAAGATTTTTTTGCGTTAATATATGAATCCTACTCTAATATTTCATTGCCTTATTACATGTCCACCATAAATGACCTGCAGCAAATTCTTACAGAAGTTGCATTCCAACAGGAGATAAGGATTATCTGAAGGCACCTAAAGCTGGAGTGGGAAGCCAGGTGCTCTAGATTAGAATTTTGGTTTTTCTTAAATCCTCTACTAGCTGTTAGGACAACCTTCACACAACTGGAAGTACCATTTAGGGAATCGGGATAATATACTAATCCATCTATGGATTCTCTCATCTGATCACAGAACAATCAACAGACTGTCCAGTAAGGAATAATCCCTATACTGAAAGAAAAATATTTTTTTCTTTACCTGCTGAGCAATCCAATCTCTCACAGTAAGTTCTTTCAAAACATCTCTTGTTTCCTGCAGATCCACTGGGATATAATAGTCCATAGACACAGCAGATCTAGGAGGAAAAATGGAATGTCCATTTTCTGAGGAACATCCAAAGCTCAATCACATGTGTCTTAATGCTATCATTCAGAAATTTTACACAAGTGACCACCTATACTTCCCAGCTTTTGGGCTTCACATCTTTCAAAGAGAAAATTGACTTATCAGGATTTAAGGCTCTTCTTCAAATAAACCACTGGGAATTTGCTTACTTACCAACTTATACAATAGAATAGACCTTGATAAAAACTGAAATAAGGACCTCTATGGAGATTCTCAGGCATCCAGGTTATGGTTGTCCCAAAGGTGCTTTTTCACGAGGCAACTGGACTTTCTTGGTTTTCTTTGAAGACATTTCGCTTCTCATCCAAGAAGCTTCTGCCATTCCCCACCATCCAGTCAGAGCTGAAGAAGCTTCTTGGATGGGAAGCGAAACGTCTTCAAGAAAAACAAGAAAGGCCAGTTGCCTCATGAAAAAAGCACCTTTGAAATATGGACATGGGTGGGAAGGACAAATAATGTACAGTATTTTATTTCCTTTTATACAGTTTGGAGATGATGGGATGTCTGTTAGTGCAAGATTCAGAAGAGCCAAGGCACGGCAGTGATTTTTTGTCTTTGTTTTCAGTTTTTTTCAGCTTAACAAGTTTGAGGATGACTTGCAATTTGTCTTCCAACTATCTGGCAAGATTATGGGTTATGCAAGCAGTGGCAAAGTGGACATGCTTTAATAATCTCAAGAGCCCAGGGCCTTCATTTTTAAAGGTAACGGGACATTTTGTAGGCATAATGATTTGAAGAATTTGGAATGGATTTACATCAGAATCTTAATTCA